ACGGCATGAAATTGTTGCGGTTTTCAGCAAATAACGGATTGTCCATTATGAACACCTTCTTTGTGCATCGAAGAGTGCATCAATATACCTCGTACCGGGAAGCTTTTGCGCAGAAGTCGATGAGCAATTTCATAATCGTATCATTTGATTTAGGACGCTCAGTAATGGACATCCCGTCTTGTTGACCCAGAGAAAGCCTATGACTGGATCCCACGCAACTGTCTGTGGTCATGCCCTCGAGCATACGGGGTAAATGACCAGCTGCTAAAGGCCATCCAACAACTGTATTCTGATAACAGGTGCTGCGTCAGAGTTAATGGCGTTAAGTCGAAACTATTCAACATTCGCACTCGTCTCCGCCAAGGCTGCGTCCTGTTCCCCATCCTGTTTGTGTTTTACATGGATAGAACAGTCAGGAGCTGCCAAGGCGATGAGGATACGGTGTAGGAGATGTGAAGACCAGAAGATTGCTGTTTTCAGACGACCTTGTTAAATTAGCATCTTCTGAAACTGATTTTCAGTGCTGCCTAGAAAGATTCGCTGCCGACTGCGACGTGACCTGCATGCAGATGAACGCACCTAAAACGAAAAGCTTAACGCTTTCTTGTTTTCCTGCCCGTTGCTCTCTTCAGATTAACGGAGAGGCAGTGGGGCGCGTGGTGAAGTTCAAGTATTTCGGAACTGTATTTACTAGTGATGGAAAATTTGAGGAAGAGATGGACCGGCAAGTTGGAGTAGCCATTGGCATTCTGCATGAACTATCCCGATCCGTTTTAACTAAAGCAGAGCTCACTCTGAAAATTAAGCTCTCTGTGTTCAAGTCGATCTTTATCCCCGTGAGTGGCATAGCATGACTGAAAAGCCTAAAACCCGGGAACAAGCTGCTGAAATGGGCTTTCTTAGATGAATCACTGGCCTTAAGCGCCTAGACTTGGTCCGGAATACTGACATCCGGGAGAGCCTTGATGTAGTGCCTTTGCTTCTGCAATTTGGGAAGTCACAGGTGCGATGGTTTGGCCATGTTGGTCATGTGTTGCGAATGCCTCCAGAATGGAAGGCTAAGCTGCTGTTTCTTGCAACTCCGAGCGGCAGAAGGCCCACGGGACGGCCAATATTAGCCGTGTGCAAATGTATTGAAGGTGTCTGTTCCAGATTCTTGTCTTCTGCCTAAGCTGAAACCCTGGCGGAAGATCGGGAACGTTGGAAGCTCTGTCTGACGCATCTGACTCTACGACCCGAAAGAAGAAGCGACAATTGAAGATGAATACGAATGTATCAAGATATTTTTTCGAATACATTGCTATACTGCAATCATGGCCGCATCGGTGAGAAGCCATTGCAGCCGATCAAATGTTCTAATGCATATTCAGGTTCACGGTTTACCGAAAGAAGCATCTTATCTTTAGATAAAAGGATTCGTTCGTTCGTTCGAGAAGTTCCATCCATTCTTTCATAGTTGCAACAAAACTGAAATAGAGTAAGCAGTCAGATAAGTAGGACTGTTATCGGCTTATGAAGAGAGCCGAAACAGCGCAAAGTAATAAATTATTTAATGGCGGTCTTTTGCCTTTTTTGTTTAGTCTCAGTAAAGCAGAAGTGAATGGCTTTGCAGTTGCGCAGCACAGCATCTTAAAGAACCATATCATGCTCATTGTTCCAAGCAGTATTTCCACCCCCGAAGTCAGCTGACGCAGAAGAACGACAGTGGAAACTAACTCAACGGAACGAAGAATATGCGACATTATCGGGGAGGAAGAAACACAGAAGGACATTCCAACGTGGTTTCTTCTGCTACATGATTACATAATTAATATATTCCGCTTGAACTCCCCTGCGACATTCGTTTGAAGCTGATTGCGACAATTTGAAACTATGTCTTAGTGTTCAAACATTCATAGTGCAACAAGAGCCGCTACATACCAGGGACAAAAAGGGCGCTCGATATCCAGAAACTGTAGGACAACTGCACTAGGTTTCTCCATACCTAGTGGGGCTTGTCACTTAGAAATGCAAGATCTATGAGGATATACTCTGGACTCGAGTGGTTGTGCAATCCTTGAAATATAACTTAGCTACTTAATTAATTACCACATAGTTGTGCCTAAATAATTAAAATTTATAAACTTTAATTCAAAGGTAGTGTCTACCCTACGTTGATGACTTTTTGGCAGTACATTTACTGCTGGTAAAATATTGTCGGCAGTTTGAAAAATAACTGTTTCAGCATATGGATCCTCTGTTTTGAAGCTTCTTTTTTGGTCCATTTGTTAGCTTATGCATATGTCTTTTTTTCCGTAAGGCAAGACTTTGTGTTGATTACTTCACTTAAGCAGGAATAATTAACAATGGAGGCAACTTTCAGCTTATTTGGTTAGCTATATTAGCTGTCTGAAGTTTTTTGCACTGTAATTCGTTTTACTCATTTTATACTGTTGCGCTTTTATTCAATATATGTTTTACCTATTATTCGTTTGTAGAAAATTCCTTGGTGAACTTAGTTAAAATCTATTCGTTCACAAGGCGCGGTAATTGTACATCCCTGTAAATTGGCCATGATTCTTTGTTTTGATAGACTGTATTCGTTTCGGAACTCGCTCACGGAGATACTGTGGCTAGCACTGCTCACCTTCTCCTATACGGGAATATATAAAAATTTGTTTATCACGTGTGCGTAGTTGATAACGAATTGCTTGTTGACATAGATGATTTACGTTTAGTATGATTGCTGGATTATTCAGTTTTACTATAAATGAGAGAGTTCCCATTCGATGATTATTTGTGTCGAGTAAATTGCAACTCATTAGTTCTTAGTGGCTTTCCTCGATTATGTACACCCACTGTGATTTTACTGTGTACTGATCTTTGAGGAAGCATTGATTCCTACCTTCGGTTCAGATATGAATCTGAAAAGTGCTGCTGATTCGATAGAGCATTAGATCAGATTAAGGATGGTACATTCGACCCTTAATTGTATCACTCGCCGTTTGTCCATCTTGTTGGTAAACGAGTTCTGCTCCAACTTGTGGTAAAGAAATGGATGGGTATATACTGTTCTTGTCGCATAGCTATCCACATTCCCTTTAAGACAGTACTCCTGGTTAGGTTCAACCCGACGACGTTACCTCAACGAAAGTAGGATGTCATAAATGGTGCTTATCACGTAGCTTGAAACAGTTACAAA